CAACATAATTTCAGAGACCCTTTGAAGTTTGCCGGCTAGCCTAACCAGTCTCCTTCGATTAACCGTGATGGAATAAATTTCGTGGATAAACCGCATGCCTGACATACGACGTGTTATAAAAGCGTATTTGTCTGTTTTTAGGGAGCATTCATTTTTTAGCTGGGGGGTGGACCGGAGAAACTGATGTCTAATTCCATGCGAAAACTTGGAACCCCCAAGACAAAAGTTGATAAAAAATTATGACTCCCTATTTTTTTTACTGAAAATTTTTTAACCCCTCATCCTAACTATTAATCCACACGGTGTCGTTTCCATAGCGTTTCAGGGCCGTAGGAAGCTCTTTTTGATTTGGGGGCCCAAGGAAATTTTTAAATCTAGAGTCTCTGAAATGCCATTTCCTGGCCTTTGGGGGAAGATTTGACAGAATTCTGATGGTCAGAAAACAGCGTTTTAGTATGTTGAAATTGACAATTTGGTAGTACTAAATGGGCGAACACGTATTTAATGAACTATATATTGGATAACTAGGATAAGTTGCAGGAAACTGTGGGTACTATCTTCATTCTTTGCAGTTTGTCATGGATAATGTAGCCGCTTAAAATTAATAAAGCTTAAAATTGATCAAGGTCTGCATGATTTTAAAGTCATGCAGACCTTGAAATCATGCATGATTTTGAAATCATGCTACGGTCCTGCGTTTTCTTTCATTCATGTTTTCACACAAAAACGGATGAAAACGAGGTCAATTGACGAACATCATGGAAATGTTTTCCTATGGACTGTGTGAACAGAGCGTCAAATGAATTTTGCTTCTTTGTTATAGATGACGAGATAGTTGATAGATTCTAGACCTTTTTACCATTCTTGATCCAAATATTTCCAAATTCAATAAAATCATATTGGTGATTTTTTCACCGATTATTTTTATGACCCCCTCCATTTATACCAAAACTATAAAAAGACCCACCCCTTTGATGCATGTCAAAATTGCCTGACCCACCCCCAAATTCCTCCGGCCCACCCCCCCAGCTAAAAAATGAATGCTCCCTTATAGAGTGTAATATGCAAATTACTTATCTATTTCTCTTCATAAATCACTGTATGCTTATTTGTTCAGTATTCACTGTTTTTATAATATTGCAGATACGAAAAGCGGTCTATATCAGAAGTAGTTAAAGACTGTTCTGGTAAAATGATATATAATTTGGCCTGTGGCTTCCGCCATTTTGGAAAATTAATAGTCCGCAGTGGCCGCAAGCCTTTCCATTCGTTTCCCACCAATATTTATATTTTTGAAAGGCCTGCGGAGGAGGTAGGCAATATACGAATGATGGAACATTTAATATTAATCGAAACACCACAAAAAGCTTCAAATTCGTAGTACTTACGTTGTGGCATGCTCGTGTACACGGTTTTCTTCATGAATTTCAGTGCAAGTGTCATGACTTCCAGTTCCATCGTTTATATATTCACTGGCCCCCGAAGCAGAGTCATTCACAAGCAATGCATCTCGTTCTCCGTTTGACATAACTAAAAGCGTATTAATGTTAAAATCTTCTCCCGATGCCAATTCGCAATCTCCGATTACTTTATAAAATGTTTGTTCTCTGAAAAGCTTTATTTACAATACACTGTATTCATAATAAGCTCGCCATGAGCTCAATATAAGCAAAATTGCCCAATTATTTCATGCGACCAAAGCCAGCTGACCCACCGATCCTTGCGTATGATAAAGAATAGGCCACAAATTGTCTAAATTGCGCGAGAGATTTTAAATTAATCATTTAACACAAGCCACCGTGTTACCGTGACGAATCACGAAAAATTTATATCAAACCATGCCTGATTTGCTTGAACGCTTCAACACTTTGGGAATACAAGAATATGAATATCAAGAACCAGGAAATATTAAACACTGACAATCTGACGCACTGATCTCGATCTACACCATATGACTGGACAATTGTAACATTTAATTAAATTAACAACAGTGTCATAAAGGACAGTGTATTCTAATACAGTTGTATCGTATTAATAGTCTATTAAATAAAATTAATTGAAAAAAAAAATTATTGCTTATATGTTGTATATTCCTTCCTTTATATTTGAGGTATTTCTTCGAATCACTGAGGCGGTGGCAAATTTCTTGTTGACAAGTGACGGCTATTGACGAGTTGTTCCGAAATCGCCTCGATTTATTGACGAAGATAGGTCGATCGAATTGTCAATAAATAGTTTCTCTTTCGTTTCTGTCATTTCTGTGCACTATGTTCTGTGTAAGTATACCTTAATAATCGAAGAGCTTATTTCGATTCTAAGAAGATGGATAACTGTTCTGTTTCTTTGCGCGAAATAACTGGCTACTTTGACTTCTGGAGAGAAGTTAAACATGAATGTATAAATGAGGCTGAATTGCTCCAAGTTTTTTCTGCTCTGGCAGAAAGGTAAGGCACGTACTAAGCTGAAAATGTGAAATTTCATGTTTGCAACAATCGTTCTAGAGATTTCAGTTCTTGCTCGTTTTCCCAAGAGCTCAGCGTTAGACCTTGCAAACAGTACGACCTAACAGTATTAAATATCTGTTCTCCTGTATGCTAGCCTTATATATATATATATATATATATATATATATATATATATATATATATATATATATATATATATATATATATATATATATATATATATATATATATATATATATATATATATATATATATAGGCGAATGTCAATAAGTATATTGAGTGTCGAATCATACGAATAGAGTGCTCGATACGTAAGTTGAGCAAATGAAAGACAAACTTGAGTTACATCGTTTAAAACATTTATTCACGACAAATTTGTTTCGTATGGCAAACTAAGCTTGCCACACTCATCAGGTGAATGATGATATCGCGTATTTACATGATGTTATAACCTATAGGTAACTTGAGCTATTATATAAAAAATGTTTGACGTCATCAGGAAAGCGTGAACCTATGTCTGTAACCTGACGTATTGGCTGCAAAGCAGGAATTTTTTCCTGTGCCTACATGCAGATATTAGTTCGTTTCTTGAGTTCAGAGAGCTTAATTTGGGATAGTAAATTATAATAAACTTTTCGTGCAGGCATAATTTGCACACAAATTTGCACACATAATTTGCACACAAAAGGCCTACTCAAACAAAACAAAACGTTGCAAATTATGCCTGCACGAAAAGTTTATTACAATTTACTATCCCAAATTAAGCTCTCTGAACTCAAGAAACGAAAAATTTATTTATTAACTTTACAATCATGCAAAAAATATAACAATGATTGAAGGTATGGTCAACAGGACATGAGTCCCATGTAAAGACCAACCTGATACAATACAATAAGTAGACATACATTAAAGACAAGGACTAGAACACTATTTACATAGCTACATAAAAATTAATAGTTTAGATTATGAGCAACAGCTTAAGTTGAAATTAAGCAGCAGTTGAAATTAACAGCTTAAGTTGAACTAATATCCGCATGTAGACACAGGAAAAAATTCCTGCTTTGCAGCCAATAGCTCAGGTTACAGACATAGGTTCACGCTTTCCTGATGACGTCAAACATTTTTATTATCACGCTTTCCTGATGACGTTAAACATTACCGGACAGACGCTCTAACCATTGAGCTATAAGGCATCAGATGGTGAGCCAAGGTTACGTTATTTACTAGTTTCCGGTAATCAGAAGGTTACGTGGTTCAATTCCCGTTAGGGCTCAGAATTTTTCTGAGTATAGGCTTGATACGCATCCACACCAAATCACATATTCTACAAGCTGCCACAAAAACACACATATACAGAAATGCAGTTCTTAATAATAACATCAACAAGCCATGTCGAGACTTGCAGTTAGCAGTACCCATGTAACACACAGAACTAGTAAATAACGTAACCTTGGCTCACCATCTGATGCCTTATAGCTCAATGGTTAGAGCGTCTGTCCGGTAATCAGAAGGTTACGTGGTTCAATTCCCGTTAGGGCTCAGAATTTTTCTGAGTATAGGCTTGATACGCATCCACACCAAATCACATATTCTACAAGCTGCCACAAAAACACACATATACAGAAATGCAGTTCTTAATAATAACATCAACACGACATGTCGAGACTTGCAGTTAGCAGTACACATGTAACACACAGAACTAGTAAATAACGTAACCTTGGCTCACCATCTGATGCCTTATAGCTCAATGGTTAGAGCGTCTGTCCGGTAATCAGAAGGTTACGTGGTTCAATTCCCGTTAGGGCTCAAAATTTTTCTGAGTATAGGCTTGATACGCATCCACACCAAATCACATATATATATATATATATATATATATGTATATATATATATGTATACTAGGGTACTTAGGGTGGTGCCATGTTAGATTACTTGGTAAATATCAAGATTTTATTGGCATCTCACTCGATTGAATAATAGTTGAAGGGTCTTGTAGATGGAAATTATCGAGTGCAAATTTATATACATTTATTAGACAAGTCAAGACAATGTCGTGCCAGGGACCTACATAGTAATTAAGTGTTGAATTTTTCACAGCTGGTTAGGTGTAATAAATGTATATAAATTTCCAACACCTAACCAGCTGTGAAAAATTCAACCCTTAATTACTATATAGGTCCCTGACAGGAATTGTCTTGACTTGTCTAATAAATGTATATAAACTTCCACTCGATAATTTCCATCTACAAGACCCTTCAACTATTAATTATCCAATTGGGTGAGATGCCAACAAAATCTTGATATTTATCCACTGATGTGTCTAGTTAATGCATCAAGTATTCAAGTTGCATTGCAGCCTAATAAGCTTTAGAATTATTCTGCTATTGTACTGTGTCTAACACTACCCAACTTTGCTCGTCAAGGGGAAAGCGGTGGTGGTTAAATTAATTAAGCATTATAATAGTGAACTTTACTGCTGAATCAATATAGATGACAATCCTACACATCATCTCATAGCAATAAATATACACTTGGCTGTTGATCACGTTTTTGTTTTCATCAAATGAGATAACTAAAGATTATTCAAAATTAATTTAATTATGATTAACTATAAGTATTTTTTATGATTTACCTTTTGCATTTCGATTTCCTTGATACGATTCAACTCCTGTGGAGAAGTAATAATTATAAAAATGTTATAGAGCTGCCCTCATCAGTTCATTTTTGTAATTGATTTAACCTTACCCAACAATGGATACAGTACAGTATATCAAGTATTGATCTTTTTGCCATGAAAGTAATACCTCATCTGAGAAAGCACATTGAAAATGCCATATCATGGATTGATTAATTAACAGGGGGAGCTTACAGTATGGTATAATACCTTACGTTATTTAATGTTAACTGTTCAAAGATACATGTGCATAAACAAACCTCCAACAACATATAAGAGTCCTACATTGGACTTTCTGGGCTTTGTTCGCAGGTTCTGCATTTGTGCACGTCTTTCGGGTAACAAATGATATTTCATTGCTTCTAACAAGAGGTCATTCCCACAATCACTAAGAGCAAATACAGGCGATTTCTCAACACGATCTGTAAGTAACTTGCAGCTCATTAACGGCAATCGAATATTCTCCAGCAACTGGCTGACAAATGGCTTTCGCTTTGCACAATCAAATTGAACCCATTTCTCCATCGCAGAGAACACATCTTCTTCCGTATTCACATTTAAATCATCACTAGCAAATAATTCCACTAACTGGTTCCCGTTAATAATTTGGAATTCCTTGCTTTCAATGACCTAAAAAAGGTATACGGACACAACAATTACTGTAATCAAATAACTATTCTATTCTGTGCTATTTATATTCCCCTAGGTAAAAAAAAACCACCCTGGGCCAAAATAGAGAGCTTTAGATTTGACAATGCGTATGTCCATGATGTCGAGATTCATTATTTGGATAGCCCCACAGCCGGATTTTGAGGGGAGGTGCGCACCTCCCCTGAGATCATTTTGCACCTCCCCTGAGAATTTTTGCACCTCGCCTTGGAAAAGTTTCAATCACAGATGAAAGTGAAAATTTGCTTAGGGTCTACACTTCGTAAGAAAGTTTTTCTGTAAAATTGAAACAGTGATAGCCATTCATCTCTGTGTCAAGTACCTTTTTAATGCAATGTTTCGAAAGAAACTTTGTAGTAATTGTAATGAAGGGCAAAATTGGATGAGTTGTACAGTCATATATAATTCATTAATACACTGATTCATACATATGTACACTACACAGGGTCTTAGCTAGCATTTTATAGTTTGGGCGTGTTTCTAAATTTCCAGGGTGTGCCCATGTCAATTGCCTTGAATAGCCAAAAACACGACTCCAGTTATACTTAATGTCAACAATAGACTATACCTGTGGTTGTTCTATGCTTTTCAACCAAATACAAGGCGAGCATACGCTCATATTTCGCACTGACATTATAATTAATTACTGTATTTTAGCAATTCTTGGGCATTTAAAACCATTTTAAAAACACTACGGTGCCCATTATCCATCAAAACATCACGGATCACTTTTATCAATTTCAACAACTACAGTAGATTTTACAAAGAAATTCTGTATGTTGTTAAGTAGCAACACCTTATTTTATGAACCTACATGCACGGCCAAAACTAAATAATAAAGCCGCGTTCATTTCATCTAGCCGTGTTTTTACATTTTTGGCCGCAATAACACGGCCAACACGGCCTTCTAGCTAAGACCCTGACACTACATGCATATGTCATGTCGTTGACTTCGATCTGTTCTAAGCCCTAACTTTCCATGGGGGTCGTGAGCTAAACCGCTGCACCTTCCCTAATTTTTTTTTCACCTCCCCCACTATTTCTGCCAAAATCCGGCCTTGGATAGCCCACATTTTTACACCACCTTCTTCGTACACTATCATGTACCAACACCTTTATAAATCAATATTGTAGCTGTGGCCAAATTGACAATGGGAAGTCTCATCCCCTTGAAAAACAAGTCAAAATTGAGGTCGGCAAAACAATGCCAACCTAAATCTGACCCAGGTCAGCAAGCAAAGGCAAAAAAAAAACAACAACTTGGTTAGCATCCCTTCCCGACCAGTGAAAAAGCTCCCGACCCAACTTTTTTTATTTCATATTTACGTTTGTCAGCAGTTGACTAGTGCTGGGTTGTGATATACACAACAGAGCTACAGTAGTCAACTGTTGATTGCTAGAAATCCTTGATATATTAATTCCCCGTTTACACTGTACCGGATTCACATAACATCTTCGTTTGCTGCCCAGCCAGGAACAATGTTTAACAACAAATGTTTACTCTTTTGATAACGTCTGTATGTTTCTGCTTGTTACTACCATTATAAATGTTTAAGCTATTCCATTGACTGTTAAAACTGATGTTGTGACCAGCGAAAACGGGGCCCCTGGGAATTAGGCTGATTTTAGGTGCAAATAAAAAACCTTCCCCCATACCCAGATACCCTAAAATATAGGGGGAAAGGACGCTACTTAATAAACCAAGTTTGTTTTTTTTACTTGGCCTAATAATAACCTGCAGAAAGTTCTCCTTTGTGAAGTTATCCGCGGCTGCGAAAAGCTCTCCACAGCCATGGCCCTCGGCAAAAGCTCGTATTCCAAGACAGTTGGTTGAATGCAAATGTTGCTGCATAAACTCGCAACATCTGTGTTTCACATTCTCCACTTGCAATAAACATGCGACAGTCAGCAAGTTCTCGACATTATCAACGCGTATTTCAAGTTTTCCTGTGTAGGCATAATCTACAATGGCAGCCAAGGCATCTGGATCGACGTTTCTGATATGTATTACATCTTGAATAGTTTCGGCTAGATCGCCATTAAACATGGCGTCAAAATAATCACTAAATCCTGCCATAATCACACGGTGTGCCCGAATCTTTCTCTCGCCTGCCATTAAGGTTACATCACAAAGCTGAGTGTTCGTTCGAAAGGTATCCATTCTTTTGAATGTCGACAACAAGTCGTTTGGCGACGAGTAACGAAGTAAATCGTTGCTTTCATCCATATGCCGTCTTGGCAGGACACTAGCCAAAGACAATCGTTTATGTTCCCAGAAGTACTGAACCAGAAACGACAGCTTTCAAAAACAAACAAAAACTCAGTAACTCACAATTGTGATTAATTACCAGTTCGACATTTTTGAGTCAAAACAATATAGTATTTGGAAATACGCTAAATAGGATACACCAGGAGTAGAGGGTGTTTCCACATCAAAACCGTTTTCAGAGGAATTTCAGAAAAATTTTAAATTTCATGCATCTTCCCGGCGCGAAGGCCGACTTCTTGGTTTTTCCTATGATTTTCCTATGATTTTTAGGGATGGGCCGATATCGATACCAAATACTCGATACTATCGATACCAGGGTTTTGAAGAAAAGTATCGATACTGGCAAGAAATATCGATGTTTCGATATTTCTGCGCCCGCGATATTTTTCATTTTGGTCAGCGGCATCATCATGAAAATGATACCAAAAAGCCTCAAAAAGCCTAAATAGGCGTAAATAGTTCATTTTCTATGGTGCTATAATAGTCCACGGGAAGGATGGGAGTTTCTGGTTATGTTGGTTGCAATCACTGATATATATTATTCAATGTTTATATTGTTAGCGTTGTGGCCGTTGTTAATGATTTCAAGTTGGGAAAATATCGATATCGGTACTGATATCGAAAAAAACCGGCAAATATCGAGCAAATATCGTATCGAATGAAAAAGGTGGTATCGCCCATCCCTAATGATTTTGGTGTGACCCATAATTCGTCATCAAATGCTGACGCCTAGCCAGTACTAGTGTGCATTTGAGAGGCATTCATCCCCTGATAATATTCGAAATGGTGAAAGTCCAAGGGGGGGAGGGGGTGGAATACCTCTCAAACGCGCACTGGCTAGGACCATACACCCTTTTCATAGATGGCTGCCGATTAAAAATTCTTTTATGCGCATATAAATTGGCCCAACTAGCCTCGTACTCATGTTAAGATTTCAATGGAATTTCTACCCAGAAACGAGGCTAGTTGGGCCAATTTATATGCACATAAAAGAATTTTTAATCGGCAGCCATTTATGAAAAGGGTGTATGGCGTCAGCATTTTGATGACGAATCATGGCGTGGCAGCGGCGTGGCGCATGCGCGAGAAACGTAAGCGTGGAGTGCACGTGAGCCCGGGTTAATCAAGGGTTAATCCGTTATCGCGTGACTAAATTATAAAAACAAACTGATCAAATTTGCCAAAACTACTCGTGTTATGAAGTCGTTTTCTTGTTTCTTTAGTGTTTCTACGCTCAGAATTTTAGGCATTTCCAACTTAGAAGTGTTTGCTTTGGAATAAGAACGTGAAAGTAGAAATAAAAACTTTGTTACAGCAGTTTAATTTCGCAGTGCAATGTAATATGTATATGTAATATGTATATCCTTTTCGAAGTGAGATATACAAGTGCAAATTGACCTTCTTTAAATTCGTACTTGCCCTATTTTTCACTCTATAAAAACTACTTTTATCCATGGAGAAACTATTTGACTCTAAAAATAAGCTTGAATTTTTGTGGACTTTCCTTTCAATTGCCTTGCTTGAGGGTCCTGAAGGGGTAAAATGGGAACTGGGATTGATCTATTTTTAGACTGGGAAAATGGGATTTGGGTTGCTGGGACTGGGATTTGGCCACTGGGAATGGGAAACGAAGTCCTCAAAAATGGGAATGGGATTGAGGTAATGCCAGTCAATTCTCAATTTTTCTACGTTTTAAGTATTTTAAAATACAATTTTGATCCGTTTTTGGTGTCTTTGGTCATGATTTTTGTTGTTAACTATATTATTCACAGCACTACCTGCGAACAGGCATACTCTGGCGCCCGGAATTCTGGGTTTTCTGATTATGCGTCTCTCAGAATGCTGCAAATGCCATTTCCTGGATTCAAATTTAAAAATTTCCCGTGCCTTCGGCACGAGCCCCCTCCCCAATATTTCATAAAGTGTCCGCCACTTGCACACTTAAAAGGTCTTAAAACTGTTTATTCTACCGATAAATAAAGGGGTTTTTATTGACTGGGATTTCAATAACTCGGACTGGGATTCCTAAGGCTTCTAATAAAAATCCAACTGGGACTGGGATTGTGCCAAAATTTCAGGTGGGAAATGGGATTGGGCCCCCCTTCAGGACCCTCTTGCTTTAAAAACAGTCTTTAGGTTGTTGAAGAGTTAGGCTAGAACCTACAACAATAAAAACCCCGATGCTTTCAAAAACCAGTGAATCACAATGCTGTAAACTTCAACATACTTAGAAATTGTAAGCAGTGCTCTCACAATCAAATTTTCGAATTCCTTAGAAAAAGCTAGAAAATTCCTCAGATTTCCTTAAAATTCCTTAAATTGGTAAAATTACCAGAAGGCTTGATCACACAGTTGCAAAAAGTGTTTTTTCTTCCTTTTTATCAGTTTTTATAACCTTGTTTCTAAGCACTAAAAAGTGAAAACATTTGATTGTTAGCGTAATGCCATAAAGAAAAATTCAACATGATGTATTTTTTATCGTTGCTGCATGAAGAGCTTAAAAAATCCGTAGATTTCAGAAGAAACAGCATATACTGACATTTAACTTTTGTGATTTTAATGAAAAGACCAGTGGCGGACACTTTACGATACTGGGGGGGGGGGGGGGGGGTGCTCGTGCTGAAGGCACGGAAAAATTGAAAAATTTGAATCCCGGAAAAGGCATTTGCAGCGTTCTGAGAACACATTTTGTAAAAAACTAGGGTTTCAAAACACTGTTTTAAGTTTTGTTATAAATCACATGCCAAGCCATGTACAGAAACAAATACTATTATATTATGATGACAATTACGTTATATGAGTGTGATTTGTGTTATTTGGTACTGGAACCAAATTGGTACTGGAACATAAGAACATTTATGACATAGAGAACATACGAATATTTAACAATTATTCGCCGAAGACGAGGTGATTATCGATTTATCGGTGAATCACCGAGCCTGAGGTGAATAATTGTTTTAGTATAATTTCATAGGTGATTATTTGGAAAAAAATAAGAAAATACACATTTCTTTGCCATTTAATTGACAAAAAGGCTTCGGCCGCCATTTTGAAAATTGCTTAGGTGATTATCGCGTAATAATCGCCTCAACGGCAACCAATCAGCGTGGAGAATTTTCAATAATCACCTATGTAATTATACTAAATGTAATTATGTGCGTATAATGTTGCTACTTTCAAGTTTAAATCTCATTTGCGTGGCATGGTTATCCTCCGTCCAACGTTTTTAGTCCAGGATAAAATGTTTCGGAAATTCCTTAAAAAAATCCTCAAAAACCTAAATTCCTTAAAAAAATCCTGAAAACTCTTCAAAATTCCTATTTTTAAGAATAATTCCTTAAAAGTGAGAGCACTGATTGTAAGCAAAACATCGAAAAGCAAAATTCGCGGGAAAAATCTCACGAGCCCGCACTATTTTTATGCAGCGTCGACGAAAGTCCACGATGTTTCCACCCGTTCCGCACGTTGTAACCAATAATTTATTGGCGTTGTAATGCCATTGTATGCAATAAAGTATTGGCATAGAATAAAGATCCATATAGAAGGGCCACTTACGTCGGAAGCTTTGAAGTTTCTGTCCTCGCGCATGTCGCATTACGCATGTTGGCCGCCATTTTCCTAACCAGTCAATGACATTTTCTGGCCAATAAACACGCTGTACTGGCTGGCTGCTCCGCCTTCTGGCCAGTAAACTGCATATTTTTGCATAAAAAAACGAGGACACGTTGCACCCCTGAGTGGCCCTTCTATATGGATCTTTATTCTATGGTATTGGGTTGTAACTGAAGGCAAAACCACAAGCATTAGACAAAAGTTTTAGTTATAAATGTAATTGGCTTAGCTATATAATCATGGATGGCGGGGAGGCCGTAGGGTAATTTCCCCTGGGGGTAGCCGGCCGGCCTTCCTTAGGGTTAGGGTTAGGGTTAGGGGTTAGGGTCTGGGGTTAGGGTGTGGGGTTAGGGGTTAGGAGGTGGGGTTAGGGGTTAGGGGGTGGGGTTAAGGTTACGGTTAGGGGTTAGAGGATAGGATTAGCGTTTGGATTAGGATTAACGTTTGGATTAATTGTAGACCCATTACAACCCAATACTTTATTGCATACAATGGCATTACAACGCCAATAAATTATTGGTTACAACGTGCGGAATTACGGCTGTTCTGTGTGCCTTATTCTGTGTCTAATCGCGGGCGCTCACCAACGGTGTTGAGTGGGTGGTCATCACTGATCTCAAAATATTTTGCCAGGAGTGAAGAAGGCCAAAAATATAAAAAAATACATGAGAATTGAGAAAGCTTGGAAAATCGTTTCACATAACAAATTGTACAACTTTTTTGCAATTTTTAAACGTAAACATTGATAAGAATTGATATTGTATGATAAAACCTAAAGTATAGGGCAAGTTTGTTTCAATTGTTTATGTATGACTTTGTATTTAATATATAATATAGACTTTGTTTTTGATGTTCAAGTTTTTCCTATGCATTGTTTGCGAAAGTTTCTTAGTTAAATTACCACTTCGCGGCACATTAAAATTCGCGGCACATTTTGAATTTATCGATAGAGTTAATCATAAAAGCACAAGCATTAGACAAGACTTTTTGTTATAAATGTTATGTGACTAAAAGGGAGGCTGGTCGCCAGTGTGACCAGATGTGGTAATTTCCAGTGGCATAACGCAACCGCTGGGGCCCTCCGTCAATCGGCCACTTTTGCCCCACCCCCCCTTTGCTCCACTAAAAATAGGCTGAATTTACGACTTATGTCTACACAACAGCAGTCCTCACTTACATAATATTTGGTTACAGAATGGACTACAATCCATTACATTGTTGAGATTATGCCTCCAAAGAATCCTCAACACAAATAATATTTGTATTTTATTGACAATATATCAAAATCCCTATCAGGACGAAGTTCGGATTGGAAAACCCGGCCTACACAAAAAAAGTTCGGACTCGCGCGTCCTATATATACGCGTAAACACAACAATTAAATGGAAAATTGATTATATGCTAAAAACCCTATACAAAGTTACGAAGTTTATCGAGAAAATCTGTCCTTCCTTCTAGCATTAACA